GTAATCTTATTTAGTCTTTTTACTAAAATACCTTGAAATGTTGGTCATTGGTCAGGGAAATGCTAGGAATGAAGTGTTGTTCACCAGTTAACATTACAAGGCAGTGTTGTTGTTTTTTAGYAAAAAAATGTTAGATTTCTCCTTACATGAGCTATTTTTTAAATTATTTAATGTAAAATAATAAGTATTTTAGATTTTATGCAAACATATTGGTGGTGGCTAAGAATTACCCAATGCATTTTAAAAAGAACAAAAAAAACATAGCTACAGTTTATGGATTCCTTAATTAATATGGTGTATTCTTATTATTCTTTCAGGAAGGACAAGAAAGGGAAGAAATTGTCATAAAAAATTGTTAGTGTTCAGGATCGATTTGCACGCACTTAGAGTGTGTACTCTATCGACCACTTTTGTTACTGTTAAATTGAAGTGACGTTCATCGAGTTTTAATATGATTGAATAAAATAGTAATTATTAGTATATTTATSACATATACTTTCTCTATATATGTTCCAGTAGCCTTTGTTTTACAAAATAATCACTGGATGCATAGCAATTTCTGATAAGAAAGTTAATATACATGTAGTTAAAAATTCCTTTACATAATACATCTGAAAATTAATTCATAGTTTGTCAGACAATCAGAATGAAGTATTTTATTACAGATGTGGTATTATTAGGGAGTTGATGTGATGCATAAAATGTTCAACATTGATGTTTGTTTTTTGTTTTCTAGAAACAACTTGACAACCTTGGTTAGTTAATCTCTTCAACAGATGATGTCAAGGAGCTCATCAGGATCTGAAACCTCTTGAAATACTTTAACAAATACTGTTCTTTTTAATTCCATTGTTTAATCGATAAGATTTAGCAGAAAATAGTATGCTAAAAATGTCCAGAATGTATTGGCATAAAACATTGTAGTGAAAACCAAAATGCACTGAACTATATTTGACAGTTTAGTTTTTTTCACATTCTAAAAATGTCTATAGTATATGTAGTAGTATAAGTAAATAGACATTTTATTCAATGTACTTGTTAATGTCAACTTAGTAATTATCAAAATTAAAAAAAATGTATTATTAATACTGGTGTTTAATGACAATATGATTTGATATTTGAATACTTGGAAAATATGGCTTGAAAATATGGATTGAAAGTAATGAAAACTTGAGATTTGAGTGCTGTAAAAATTCAAAGAAAATGTTAAGTGAATGTTATATTCATTATACTTTATCATCTT